ATATATATATATATATATATATATATATATTCACTTCCAGGTAATCTAATCTATAATACATCATGATGCAGGCAATGCCTGCATGATGTATTAATTTATAAAATACCAGATGTTGCTTGAGACGAGAGAGATGACCCTCCGTGACAACCGGTGTCGACTCATCCCTTACACTACTCTCACTCATCATCACAATCGTCAACACAGACAAGCACCGATGAACGCGACTCAACACGTCGCGTAAGCCCATTTAAGCTGTTATGATCTTCATTGATATGTCAACAACAAATTTATGTGGTTGGACAACAGAGTTGATTGGTAAGTTGGAGAGCTTTGTAGGAGCCTTCGCTAATTGGTCAGCTTTGCGAGATCATTCGTTAGCCATATCCGTCACCCTATCTGAACGAGGCGAGCTCTAAGTTCCTGTAATTAGTGTCACGGGTCATAATAATAATAATAATGCAACAGAAGCCACAATACTTTATAAATTAGCAACCAAAGCCTCCCACATCCTTCATTCATCAGTATAAAGTGTACTTAATTGTATTAATACGAAACACTGTTTATGTAGTTCTTTTTGAAGTTTTTGAAACTTCTGTTTATGAAGTTTATGAGGACCCCGGCGACTTTCCACGGCGGTCTCCGGGTTTGGAGTCCCTGAGCCTTCTTTTACCAATTTCGAGGTCAACTCCGGAGCTGGAGCCCCCTGGGGCAGTTCGTTGTTGCCTTCAACATCGTTCTGATAGTTCCTGCGACGGCGCTGGAACCAATCGTATTGGCATTTGCCTTTCCATTGGAGACTTTCGGCGCCGTGGAGAGAGGGGGGACCTGCTGCTTGGGTGACAGCTTCTCCCCCGTTTCAACCTACCCTGGCTTTGCGCCCTGGAAAGGCCACTCCAGATCGACAACCAGAGCGCAACTCCATAGGCTCCTGAGACTGATGGATGCCTACTACTACTGTACACAGAGCCTCACAACACACTTGTACGTTCAGGTCTACGTTCTTGACTTACAATCGGGAATCCGGGGATCGATCTCCGCCGGTGGGGGGGGGGGGGGGGGAGAGAAATGGTTGGGAACATTCCGTTTCATCTTATGCCTCTGTTCACCTAACAGTAAACAGGCACCAGTGAGTTAAATAGACGTTGTGGATTGCTTCCTGGGGGAAGGTCAGCAGTTTGACCTGGGGGGGGGGAGGGTTGGGGGGGGGTTAGGGGTGGGGTTGGGGGGGTTGGGGGGGTTGGGGGGGGGGGGGGTTGGGGGGGTTGGGGGGGTTGGGGGGACCTCGATATAAGCCAAACAGCTACCACTCAACTGTCCACACAGACACTCACAAATGGTAGTTGTCTGTTCAGTCTCTTATGAGTGCTGGGAAGACGGGACACCACGAGCGCAGTTCTCATCCTGTAACTACACTTAGGTAATTACACACACACACACATTTAGCAAATAAGTACAATATATTTATATTCTGGACGTGTTTATATAATGTTTGAAAATTAAACAGAAATGAAAAGGAAATTAAAATGGAATGAAAATCTGTGTTTACATGAGCAATCATATCATGAAAGCTCAAGCGAGCAACGGGGCTTGGACAAAGCTTGGTGTGTGCCAGCTAGACAAAGCTTGGTGTCTGACAGCTGGACAAAGCTTGGTGTACGACAGCTGGACAAAGCTTGGTGTACGACAGCTGGACAAAGCTTGGTGTACGACAGCTGGACAAAGCTTGGTGTACGACAGCTGGACAAAGCTTGGTGTACGACAGCTGGACAAAGCTTGGTGTCTGACAGCTGGACAAAGCTTGGTGTACGACAGCTGGACAAAGCTTGGTGTACGACAGCTGGACAAAGCTTGGTGTACGACAGCTGGACAAAGCTTGGTGTCTGACAGCTGGACAAAGCTTGGTGTACGACAGCTTACACAAAGCTTGGTGTACGACAGCTGGACAAAGCTTGGTGTCTGACAGCTGGACAAAGCTTGGTGTACGACAGCTGGACAAAGCTTGGTGTACGACAGCTGGACAAAGCTTGGTGTCTGACAGCTGGACAAAGCTTGGTGTACGACAGCTTACACAAAGCTTGGTGTACGACAGCTTACACAAAGCTTGGTGTACGACAGCTTACACAAAGCTTGGTGTACGACAGCTTACACAAAGCTTGGTGATAATGTACCTGGTTTTCGCCTACACAACATAACGCACAGGACAAATTTAGCTCATCCACACGGCTTCTAATTTTAGACATTAATTTATGTGCAGTTGGCACGTTGAGAGTGAGAGAGAGCACGAGATACACAACTCACACTTCACAGGAGGGGGAAACTGGCTTAATTAACGCTTAATCTACCTCGAATGAGCGTTTAATCTGTCTGATCAGCGATTTAAGCGTTTAATAAACCACGTTTTATACATGTCGGATGAACGTTTTCAGGGATTAAATAACGTTTGATCGATAACATTTGCCTAAACTTGGCCAGGGGTGACGTTTTTTATCTAGTGTTTGTCTTATTCCGTAGTTGTCGTTATTTACATGTGACTGAGACACGTCACATGTGACTGGTACACGCTCGTTAATCACCTCTCCAACATACACCGTTTACGGTGCCACTTGTTACCCCATCCACACATAGTTATCCTCGTTTACCCAACCACATGTCGTTATCACAATCACACCGAAGTGATCACAATCACCCCAACCACCGTCATGCTGTGGTTGACACACACTAAGATGCACTCATCAAGCCACTCACACCAACATAAAAATAACTTTTTATATATACCTTAAAGATAAGCATTTTAACTTTCACGAAGATTAAAACTATTGATCCACCGCACGACGAGTTAAGTATCGCACCGTTTAAACAGCGCGGCGCAGCGTCTGACACCATCAACAACAATCAGCGGCGTCTTTAATATTCCTGCAACAAGACCTTTATTTTCTGCATTCAGTTTGACTAGTTGTATTTGCCGGCTCCTCCCAGTGGACTCGAGGGAGCTACGGCCGTCTCTCCTAGCGACACCCATCTGTCACCTCCAACCTTATGTTTGTAACTCATCATCTATGTATGTATTTTTACCTGAATAAAAATTTGAATTGTCAGCCTCGGGATCCCTTCTACGTCAGGAGCTGACACTGACCAGACCACCACAAGCCGCACCATGCTACACCAGAGCGTCAAACTGCAAGGAATGAGCTTGCAGAAGAGATGGGCGATGCCGACCTCCTCACCAGTATAACTGGAAGCAAATTCACGAAACTACTCAATATATAGATTAACGGCAGTCAGGATACCGTTCACTCAGGCAGCAAGGTCAGGTTATCAGGAGAAAGCACTAAGAAAGTGTGATTATAGAGCAGTAATAAGGGACATGAGGGCAGGCTAAGAGCTCGGGTATGAGGACGGACTGAAGGAATGGTGACTAACTACTTGAACAGTTGAGGACCAAACGCCGTCCCTGCATGAAGCGAGGCGCATCACCATACCAAGCCCCAGGTAGTTGGGCTGCATTATAACCGTAATCACGAGGACATATTCGGGGACTATTGAGATCGTGCTGTTCTCTTCTTCTTGAGAATAGGTGCAGTTTGCATGAAGGGTTTACCCTCCCGATGACTGCACCAGGACAGATGTAGGGAGACGCGTGGACGTTGAGGAGGAGAAGAAAGTCAAAGGTGTTAGATGTGTCGGGCCGCAGAGAGAGGAGTGGCGACGAAAACAGAGACGGACACTAGAGGGAGACTCGCTGCACCATTGGGCGGGGTGTCGAGTTCACGGCAGCAGCTGATCCACGCACGGTGGAGCGGTGTGCGCAAGGCGTCAACTAATAGTTCTCTGGAAACTTGTGTAACGGAAAGCGCAAGCAGTACGCATCCCAAATCACCTACGTGTCATCGGGCACCCGGCCACCGGGCGGCGCCCTCGGCTGAGACATCTTATCCGGCACCCTATAAACAAACTCCTTCACCCGCGATATCCAGACAGTGGATGAGCACCACGGGATCGGAAGCACCCGGGCATCCCGATAAGGGCCCAACACCGGACCCCCACAGGGCACGACCCCAGCAGTCGGAACTAGGCAACCCCCAGACCGGGGCAACGAAGGAGGGGGAACCGCAGAGGATGCAGGCGCGGCATCGACCCCACCACAAGGCACAGGAGCCGAGGCCCCCCGGCGCACATCTTTGCGCAACACCACCACGAGGTCCCGATCATCAGGGGCAACTCCCCACTGCGGAGATCCAACAGCAGGAGACGTAGGAGGGGGGCACAGGTAGCAACTTCGGAGCCCCGCACAGCACCAACATCCACGGCGGGGGACGCCAGAGCACCATACTCCCCCACCTCCTCCCAAGGCACACCACGAAGGAGAGACACACTCCAAGAACGCCACGAACGCTTCGAGACAGGCCGCACCACACCACTCCCACCAGGTCCCTCCGCAGGCACATCCACCATCTTCACATCCACACGGGCCACACCCGCACCGTCCGAAGAGTCCACAGAGGCCACATCACCCACACTGTCTACATCATCCAGGGAAACAGCCTCAGAACACCGACGCGCACGCTTTTGCAAAGGGATGGGAAAGAGCAGAACTACAGTAGTCAACACACACAGGCACGGCAGGCACCTCCCCCTGCCGAAGCCTCCCCCTCCAAAACAGCAGAACCCGCGTCCCCGGGAGCCGGTACCACATCCACAGACGGGGGCGGGACACGGACCTCCACCGGGACACCCTTCACTACACGCAGCGCAGGCCCGACACCCACACACACCGGCTCAACAACCCCAGGGACCACAGCAGTCACCAGACGTGTGACTGTAAAACTCGCCTCAACAGGCGGAGCAACAGACAGGCAATCAGGTGTCTCAGGCACAGCACCCACTCCGTCCTCAGAACCGTCCGAACGCAACAGGGGTGGAAAATCCTCCTCACGAAAAACATGCACCTTACCAGTCGCTCCCACGTCGCACGCTGCAACCAGATGACCCTCGTGACCACACCGATAACAGGTGCGCCAGAGCGCCTCTCTCACAGTTGCCCTGAAGCAGCTGGACGCCCACCAGGTCCGACAGCTGCACATGCAGCACGTCCACCAGGACGACACCAACCAACGAATGGTCCACCGGCTCCGTAAATGCCAGACCAGCCGAAAATGTCCACTTCACTGGAGGGCGAGAAGTCCCCATGGCTAAGTCAAACGACACCCTGTCAGTGGCAAACCACCACCAGCAGGGCAAACCAGCAATCACCCAACGTGAACACTAGCCAGGAGCGGAGAGACCTCAGGAACGTCCGACCTGGCTGGTGGTCACCACACCCGAATAAAAACAGACTAAAAAGTTAACCGGATTTTGTTACAAATGCACAGTCCCAATTTACTAGGCTACTCCTACCGTAGTTGTGCAGGCGGGCGTGCTCCCTACACAAGGCCACGCAACTGTGCTCTAATGTTGCACTGGTCGCAAGGAGAGACACCGTGTACCTCGTGCCTCATCCAGCAGCCCGGTGACGAGCGCACACAAAGGTTTTGTAAACACAGTTGGGAATGTGGAGGCAACTTCCACTCTCACCTCCACGACGACGTCGGCCTGGACTCTCAGAGTAGTTCAACTTGTCAAGTGGTAGTTGAAACACTTGAGCGAACAAGCATCCCCTTACAGCCATGATTGTTTAATCCTCCCCCCCCCATCTGTATATAATATGATTGACGTTGATGTGTTATGTATAGTATAATATTCCCCCTCACACCCTTTTATGATGTACAACAGCAAAATCTTTGTATTGTAACCCACTGTTACGTGTTACTGCTATAGTTACTGAGATTGTTATACGGGCTAAGATTGTTCTATATTGTGTTATGCATTGTTATTATTTGCTAAGAACTTGCAGAGTGATGAGATTAGCTTGCTTGGATTTGCTAAGTGTGTTAAGTATTTGTTACTTGACTATTACATAGTAGTTAAGAGCTAATATGACGCTTAAACCAGGAACGTTCTCATATACTTTTGAATAGGGAAGGTTAATACGTGCTTTTCGTTCCCCCATGGTTGTTTCACCCCCCTCCCTAAGGTCCGACCAGTGAATCCCATTAACAATACACAGCTGTAAGAGGGGCGCCTCCTTCAGAGATGTTGGCGCCTCCTTCAGAGATGTTGGCGCCTCCTTCAGAGATGTTGGCGCCTCCTTCAGAGATGTTGGCGCCTCCTTCAGAGATGTTGGCGCCTCCTTCAGAGATGTTGGCGCCTCCTTCAGAGATGTTGGCGCCTCCTTCAGAGATATTGGCGCCTCCTTCAGAGATGTTGGCGCCTCCTTTGGAGATATTGGCGCCTCCTTCAGAGATATTGGCGCCTCCTTCAGAGATATTGGAGCCTTCTTCAGAGATATTGGAGCCTTCTTCAGAGATGTTGGCGCCTCCTTCAGAGATATTGGAGCCTTCTTCAGAGATATTGGAGCCTTCTTCAGAGATATTGGCGCCTCCTTCAGAGATATTGGAGCCTTCTTCAGAGATATTGGAGCCTTCTTCAGAGATGTTGGCGCCTCCTTCAGAGATATTGGCGCCTCCTTCAGAGATATTGGAGCCTTCTTCAGAGATGTTGGCGCCTCCTTCAGAGATATTGGAGCCTTCTTCAGAGATGTTGGCGCCTCCTTCAGAGATGTTGGCGCCTCCTTTGGAGATATTGGCGCCTCCTTCAGAGATATTGGCGCCTCCTTCAGAGATGTTGGCGCCGCCTTCAGAGATGTTGGCGCCTCCTTCAGAGATGTTGGCGCCTCCTTCAGAGATGTTGGCGCCTCCTTCAGAGATGTTGGCGCCTCCTTCAGAGATATTGGCGCCGCCTTCAGAGATGTTGGCGCCTCCTTCAGAGATGTTGGCGCCTCCTTCAGAGATGTTGGCGCCTCCTTCAGAGATATTGGCGCCTCCTTCAGAGATATTGGCGCCTCGTTCAGAGATATTGGCGCCTCCTTCAGAAATGTTGGCGCCTCCTTCAGGGAGGGGGTGAGGGGTAGCGCCAGTCACAACAAAGCGCAAGACCAGTGGGAGCTCACCAAACAGTTCTGGACATGAGGACTCGTGAAACAATTGCAACAATTGTTCGACATACTTGATGGCAGCAGCGTGATGGGGGGGGGGGGGGGGAAGGGGGGGAGTGTCAGGGACGTATAGCGTTGTCTTCATGCCAGTTGATGCACCACCAACCCCCTCCAGGATCCCCATTATTATCAAACAATACATTTGCACAATACATAAACCCTTGAATAATCGCATTAAAGAGAGCAAATACACAGGAGTTAATACCAGGATGTAGATCTAGTCAGTTTCCGCTCGAGGAAAATATGCATCATTCTTGACCAGACCACACACTAGAAGGTGAAGGGACGACGACGTTTCGGTCCGTCCTGGACTCAAGTCACAATCGACTTGAGAATGGTCCAGGACGGACCGAAACGACGTCGTCCCTTCACCTTTTAGTGTGTGGTCTGGTCAACATACTTTAGCCACGTTATTGTGACTCCTCGCCTGCACATGCATCATTCTGTAGCAACACAGCTTCAATTACACTCTAATTGTTATCGGTATTAACTAAAGTGTCACTAAGTGGGACTTTGAGCTCATCACAGTTTTCAACTTTTACAAAAATATTCCCCTATGTCTAATTTTGGATCTGCCTTCGACCCAGTTGGGTTTGGTTCCTTGCATAGCGCCTGAGTCAGTGGTATCCTTAGATCACATGACTTCTTATTACAATGTCACTCCTCGCTGACATTCAGGGCGCCACGCTCCGCCTTGATAGTGTGGACACGCACTGACATTATCTTGGCCTCGACTATTGCTATTGTGGGCGGTGAGGTCCAAAGATGAATGCTAAACATGAAAGTTGATAAATATATCTCAACGTCTTAGAAAATGGGAAAGGATGGCTCTTCTCTAAGTGGGGGAGCTAATGAAAAAATTGGCAACGAACTCTGATAATTCCTGATGTATCGATGTATCGATACATCAGGAATACATCGATACTTATATCGATACATCGATATAAGTATCGATGCGCCAACAAAAGACACAATTCCCAAACCAAACTGTTGCAAGTACAAACTGAGAACGTCAACACAGTGGCTACACATTTATCTGGGAAGATGCAAGTCTCAAGACCTGAAAGACTAAATCCTAAAGCTTACTGCAAGACCATGTTGAAGGATGCTGGAATGCTTCAATAAAACAGAACGTTGCCCATTTCCCTTTAACATGGGTAAGGTTATGGGCTCGGAAAAAGATCAATCCCAAACTGCTTCGTGGGTCTGTGACTAGCTGACGGCTTTAACTCCTCTTCACATAAGGTGTCGTCAGATAAATAACTGTTGAGGAAGAATTACGAATATTTGTTACTAAGGAACTTTAGGAAGGAGGCTGGGACAGCAGGGAGGGAGGCACTGACAGCAGTGACAGGTGTCGTTGCTGTCAATCATCGGTACAATTTTTGGAGACCCAGCAAATGACAGAGCACTCGGATGATCATTTCACGTGTGAGGCATAATAATATGGCTTTCAATAAAGGTTCCTCTGCGGCGACCTTTCTTTCATCTCCAGTTATTCAATGATTCCGAAACCTGTTTGCATTGGACATTGCTGGCCCCTTAGACCAGTTATCAAATCAACAGGCTCTAGTAACATCCGGGCCAGTTCAGCTTGTCAATCACAAGGGCTAGCTAGGTCCATTTGTATGTAAGGTCGACTTTAGTGACCTATTAATAAAACGTCATTCTTAAAGGGTATTCCAAATGCAGACGATTGTAATCTAAACTCTTTATCGGCAATAATAGTTTGTCTACCCCTGAATATCATCAGATACCGACTTGAGGTTATATCTACTTTGGGTAGAGGATGCCGGCTTAAATATCTGCCTGAGAAAACCAAACAGATGCCAATGAGCTCTCAGCGTGACACAAGGGGACTGGTGTCTCTAGGACTCGGAGGACTCTGGGACTCTAGGACTCGGTGGACTCTGGGACTCTACCCGAAACGCTATGCGTGCTAGTGACTTTACAAGAATGTAAAACATCAATGCTCTGTACTCTCATAAACCCAATGTACCGTCTTGTATATAAATAAATAAATACAATAATAAATAAAGGTGTAAGGATCACTTCAGTGATCCAGGATGACTAGACACTCTCTGGTTGTGACATTTGCTCTAAAGCGAGAGAATACGTTATTGGCAGGATAAGATATCTTCCCAAGACAATACAACTCTAAACCTCTTATTCCTAATACTGGAAGACCTCTCATCTTGGGTGTAACTCAACTGGCTGCTTCCAACAGTCAGATTATGGTCTGATGAAGGTCATGGTTTGCTTATTGTGCCGAGATGGACAGAGAAGGGATAGGCTGGGCCAACCCGACACGAGGACGACAAGGAAGGATAGGCCGAAGATGATGGTGGAGTGTAGAAGACAGTGAGGCACAACCTCTACAATATCACTGACTAAAAACATTTAATATATATATATATATATATATATATATATATATATATATATATATATATATATATATATATATATATATATATATATATATATATATATATATATATATATATATATAATATCAGTATAATTCTCTTTAAAAATATGTTTTAAAGTGTCTTGGACACGTATAAATGAGATACATTTGGAATTTATTAGAACACACACGCAGATATCTCAGCTACCTCAAGGAACAGCAGTACACCGTCTACAACAGCAGCTGTACCGTCTACAGCAGCAGCTGTACCGTCTACAGCAGCAGCTGTACCGTCTACAACAGCAGCTGTACCGTCTACAGCAGCAGCTTCGCCATCTAGACTGGCAGCTGCGCCGTCTAGATCGACAGTTACGCTGTCTAGAAGAGCAACTGCGTCCTAAGGAAAGCGGCGGCAGCTGTCATGAGGCTGCAACTGGTGCCGTCCGGAGCAGGATCACCATAAACATTATTTACAAATCTGGAAACATTGCAGCATTTTATTCCAAACTGTGAAGCGCGCTTCGGAGAGGTCGTCGTGGCCTGAAGAAGGGTGGGCGTGGCTTGGAGGAAGGTAGGCGTGGCTTGGAGGAAGATGGGCGTGGCTTGGAGGAAGGTGGGCGGGCGCTGTCATAGAGGGCGTGAAGGGAGGGAGAAGTAGAGATAATAAGAAAAGGGGTTGGTCCCGGGTGACAAAAAGATGGGCTCAACCACCGCAAAGAATTCACCTTCATATCAAGGTCTCGGCTAAGAATTTAGGTTCCCCTGAGAGGTCGACCATAACCTCCTCCTCTTGGTCCTCTGATCCAGTCACTACCACCTTCTCTACCCCCTCTACCCATCCCCCCACCCCGCCCACACCCACCCACCCCACCCTGCCCACACCCACCCCCGTCCTGGCACGGCTCCCTTCCATCGTCACACCTTCCATTTCAACCTGCAAGCCAACTGCTTGCAACTTGCAAGCGCCACCTTCCTCCTGCGCCATAACTGCCGTTGCAACACCCGTGGCCCCCAGCGTGGCCTCCATCGCGGCCTCGGCGTCACGGCCTCCACCCTGGGCCATACATGGCCCCTCCGGCCCGGCGGCGGGGGCCCCCGGGACGCGCCTCTACATGTTGCAGTTGAGGTCCTGCTGGGTGGTGACGGGTGCGAGGAGGGAGGAGCTGGGGGCCTCATGTCAGAAGCTCGTGTCCAGGATGGTGAGGGAGTTGGCGATGGTCTCGTCCTGCGGGGGGGAAAAGGCACTCTTAGTCTCCTCACTCCTGGCTGTGTCTGTAAGCTGTTGGGTGTGTCAATAAGCTGTTGGCTGTCTGTAAGTTGTTGGGTGTGTCTGTAAGCTGTTGGGTGTGTCTGTAAGCTGTTGGGTGTGTCTGTAAGCTGTTGGCTGTGTCTGTAAGCTGTTGGCTGTGTCTGTAAGCTGTTGGCTGTGTCTGGAAGCTGTTGGCTGTGTCTGTAAGCTGTTGGCTGTGTCTGGAAGCTGTTGGCTGTGTCTGTAAGCTGTTGGCTGTGTCTGTAAGCTGTTGGGTGTGTCTGTAAGCTGTTGGCTGTGTCTGTAAGCTGTTGGCTGTGTCTGTAAGCTGTTGGCTGTGTCTGGAAGCTGTTGGCTGTGTCTGGAAGCTGTTGGCTGTGTCTGTAAGCTGTTGGCTGTCTGTAAGCTGTTGGCTGTGTCTGTAAGCTGATGACAGTGTCTGTAAGCTGGTGGCTGAGCTCAAGACCACATAATAATGTGTGTGTGTGTGGTTAATTACAAGAGTGACGTGTTTACACCCCCAAGTTCACTACCACACTCGTGATGTTATATATATAACTTACCAACTGTTATTAAGGATGAAGGTGGCTCTGTTCCTACGATGCTGTCTTCATCCGGGTGTCTGTACCACCACAGACGACTCGACAATATAAACCAGTAATGTTTCAATGGGTCACCAGATTTTATTCGTACCGGGCTGTCGCAGCAGATATACTTCCCCAGACAAGTGGTACAGGAGCAGGCGACTTCTGACTCCTGTTATCAGGCTGATATCTCTTCCCATACATCATGGTAAGCCTGGTTTTCTTTGGAACGAGACCCGTCAGTCAGTTAATAACCAGATGCCCAATTACTGCTGGGGTGAACATGGGCTAACAGTTAAGGATTTGCGCCCAGTCAATCCATCCTCCCTGGACAGGGTTCGAACCCAGAACAAATGGATTTCGAGGCTGTGGACGAGTGCGGTACCATCACACCACAAGTGACTATATATATATATATATATATATATATATATATATATATATATATATATATATATATATATATATATATATATATATATATATATATACATATATATATATACACTGTGTGCAGCACGTATTGACCAGTTACTGGGCGCCTGTGCCATAGCAAGAGGAGTAAGACACCTAAATGAAATTTGCATCTATAACGCCTCTTTTGCCAGGCTGGAAATTATGTAAGTGTGTACACCCGCCCGCTGCCAGCCTAGCAACATTCAAGTCAACGAATGGAACCAATAACTCTATTGATTCACAGATTGTTGCGTTAGAAATGGTGACCAGAGTTTTTGCGTCAGGTGTATGTTAGAAGGTCTATAATGCAAAGGGTGGATTTTTTTTTTTTTTTTTTTTTTTTTTTGAGATATATACAAGAGTTGTTACATTCTTGTACAGCCACTAGTACGCGTAGCGTTTCGGGCAGGTCCCTGGAATTCGATCCCCTGCCGCGAAGAATCGTTAAGCTGTTAAGTAATTTACACAAGATATGTCTCCTTAGGCTGTTGGGGGCCAGGAGCCAAGCTCTACCCTTTACACACATCTAGGTGAGTACAGCCACTTACGAATGGTCGGCATTCGGTGTCCTAAGGTTCGAACGGTTGAGCAGTGTTCCTTCATTCCGAACAGTTCTGTTCGTTCTCGACTCTCATTCGAGAAACCCGGGTTCAAAGTCCCGGCTGGGACAGAAATGGTTGGGCACGTTTCTTTTCACCTAATCCCTCTGTTCACCTAACAATATATAGGTACCCGGGAGTTAGTCAGCTGTTGTGGGACCTGTGGATATATTCCCGCCATTGATGTATTGGATGTATTGACTGCTGCCTCATGCGTATATATATGTATACGGCGTGTTTGTCCCCGACACGACGAATTATTATATATCCATATAAGCTTTCTCAGCATAATTACCTTACCTCAGGCTATAGTGTGTTCACCTCACTCTAAACATGGTGCCAGGGGTGCCACACGTACCGTCGTGCACCACACAGTAAACATGGTGCCAGGGGTGCCACACCTACCGTCGTGCACCACACTAAACATGGTGCCAGGGGTGCCACACCTACCGTCGTGCACCACACACTAAACATGGTGCCAGGGGAGCCACACCTACCGCCCTGCACCACACACTAAACATGGTGCCAGGAGTGCCACACGTACCGCCCTGCACCACACTAAACATGGTGCCAGGGGTGCCACACCTACCGTCGTGCACCACACACTAAACATGGTGCCAGGGGTGCCACACCTACCACCCTGCACCACACACTAAACATGGTGCCAGGGGTGCCACACCTACCGCCCTGCACCACACACTAAACATGGTGCCAGGGGTGCCACACGTACCGCCCTGCACCACACTAAACATGGTGCCAGGGGTGCCACACGTACCGCCCTGCACCACACTAAACTTGGTGCCAGGGGTGCCACACCTACCGCCGTGCACCACACAGTAAACATGGTGCCAGGGGTGCCACACGTACCGCCCTGCACCACACAGTAAACATGGTGCCAGGGGTGCCACACGTACCGCCCTGCACCACACAGTAAACATGGTGCCAGGGGTGCCACACGTACCGCCCTGCACCATGGTGCCAGGGGTGCCACACGTACCGTCGTGCAGATCTCCATAAACTCGTCCAGGGTGACCATGCCGTCCCCGTTGATGTCCAGCTTCTGGAAAAATTAATGATTTAGTTGGTTAAGTCAGGTCAGGTTAGGTTAGTTTTTAAGGCACTACGGGCTCACCATAGCCCGTGCTACTTGGAACTTTGTTCCAAGTAGCGAATCTTTAACAACAACAACAACAAGTTAGTTTAGGTTAGGTTAAGTTAGTGTAGGTTAGGTTAGGTTAGTTTAGGTTAAGTTATGTTAGGTTAGGTTAGGTTAGGTTAGGTTAAGTTAGGTTAGGTCAGGTCAGGTTAGGTTAAGTTAGGTTAGGCTAGGCTAGGTTAGATTAGGTCAGGTCAGGTTAGGTTAAGTTAGGTTAGGCTAGGTTAGGTTAGTTTAGGTTAAGTTATGTTAGGCTAGGTTAGGCTAGGTTAGGTTAGGTTAAGTTAGGTTAGGTTAGGTTAGGTTAGGCTAGGTTAGGTTAGGTCAGGTCAGGTTTGGTTAAGTTAGGTTAGGCTAGGTTGGGCTAGGTTAGGTTAGGTTAGGTTAAGTTAAGTTAGGTTAGGTTAGGTTAGGTTAGGTTAGGTTAGGTTAGGTTAAGTTAGGTTAAGTTAGGTTAGGTTAAGTTAGGTTAGGTTCGCCCAGTTGAGTCAATTTATCGTGGCCATTCAAGTGCACATCAGTACGCGCACCCCATTATCTTCGTGATTGTTATTATTTTAATAAATTCAAATAATTTAGTCACATATCAAACAGATGTTCACAATGGCACGAACCGCAAGTCAGAATTTTGAGAGTATTATGGGATTCGAATTGGATTTTGATCCTAATAAAAAATTCTGTAAAAACGATCATAATCAGGAGCTTTTTCTTACGACGAGTGATGGAAATTAAGCCCATTATCATAACAAAGGGAAAATAGGTTCATTATTTCCCAGTACAAAATATGGATTCCTATCTAGAATGGCTGGTAACACAAGCTCCAATGTTATCCTTCGACTGACTGTGTTCTGCTCCGTGAGAGAGAGAGAGAGAGAGAGAGAGAGAGAGAGAGAGAGAGAGAGAGAGAGAGAG